ATACACTACACTTTGCTTCAATAATTTCGATCAATTGATGGTGAAAGAGATAAGTGGGATAAATGATTGCTTCTGCCGTTTATAGAACCCTGTGAGATGAGAATTAGAAGCACTACTTGATGATCCTCCTAATCACAAACGTAAAGTGTGATTCAGTCCATAGTTCATGGCTTGTGAAGGTTTATGCGGAAACCCTGGGACGCTAGTATTTCAAAGTAGAAAAGTAATAACAGATGAAAGCGACTTGATCTACTTTCTTGATGCATCCTTTCTACTTCTCTATACCATGGAAGTCATTTTCAAAAATAATGGCACTTCTACCTAAGTGAAGCTCTGGAACTGAACCTACCCGAAACAACTGTAACACCCACTAATAAGCAGGGCTTGAGCACAACCGCACTTCTGAGGTGAGAATCTAATTGAGCCCAGCGCAGTAAATTGCAAGGAAATTTTTCTCGAATACTTAGAAGTACTCGTCCTTCACACAGAGCACTTCCAAAAGCGGAACAAACAAAGATACAAAACACCTCTTAGAGATCAAAAACGCAGAAGACGTGACAGCAGGAATTCCGTATTAATTTAATTTATGATGACGACATAAACGGTGTAATTGCGGACTCCCACATGCCACGCCATCGCCACCGCCCACCCTGCACTCGATTCCGTAGTCGCCAAAAAAGCTCTCCTGACAGCGGCCGTTCAGGTTTTAGTGAACAGGTCACTCTTTTCATTTGTGCCTCAGCTCGGTGTTCTGTTATTTGATAAAGTCTGACTATATCGAATGGTTCTTTTTTGCAGTTGCTGTTGCTGTTACGGTCTCCAAGATTGTGTCGTACGTCTACTAGGTTTTGGTCTATCTTTAAAAGCTTCTACTGGGACTTATGAAAACTTACGGTAAGAATTGCAATGTTCGAAATGTTCTTCAATAATCCTGCTCTCTATTCTGCAGTGTTTTTCCACCCGTATGGGGAACTGAATTTAGTCGGGCTTCAAAAGTAATTTTTAATAAATACTGCGAAAACGCTTTCAGTTTAAGTTCTTGGAAGAAAGTACTTGCTACCTCTTCTTCTCTGCAAAATGATTAAATTACCCAAGGCTGTGAATATTAAAAGAATCATGAGTGAAAAGTAATTGCTGGCTGTTGCCTAGGATACAATCCGATATGTGCTAAACATATAGTAAGTTAGTCTTTATCTAGAATCACTTGGTTTTTTGTGAAGGGGATGTAAGTTCCCTTGCTATAGAATTGTTTCAATGGTAGTTTTTGAAGTTTTTCAAGGAGAAGAATTCTTCTCATATGAGCTTCTCAATATTTATTGCCACGCGAGGTCTGAAGAGCGTGATGGGTTGACTAAAAAAGGCCAGAAATAGATCAGTCAGTGAACAAGGGCTCAATAAAGATCAAAAAACTGAAAGTTTCGTCTGGTTTTCTTGTGGATAAACTGAACTCGTCATCGAGTACTATTCGGGGGACGTCGTTTTTGTTTGGTTAACCAGACTGCTTCTGCTTGATTGCTCGCTTCAGTTCACTCAGTTGCTGTTCTTTCCGGAGTCTATATGATGATTACCTACGTGCAGGTGAACCCACACCTCATGAAGCGCTTAGCAGAGTATAATTTCAATTAAATCTTGCTGCAACTCATGCGGATCTCATACATCGATTCTGGTGCTTTTCCAAGTCAACAGTGCCGATTTAAAGGTGCCTCGTAGCTGAGACCAAGGACACTTCAAGTAGTGCCATGCGAAAAAGGAAGCACATTTGCTCGCTCAGCGCACATAGCCTATTTTATTATTTGCACGAAACGTCCTTGCTTTCCGAATCCCAGAAGATGAAGTTTAATAATTTGAAGATGCCTTTCACATTCTGCATTCGGCGAGGATTAAAATGTTCGAAAAAAGTGAGCGAATCTCACAACCAGCATTTGCTGATGTTTGTTCTGTCAGGTGTCATCAAGATTTGCGCTGTGAAGTTGCTAGTTATTTTTCGATTCAGTGATGCAATGCCTACTCGGAAGTCGCAAAGGTTTTTCCTTTTACTTGCGTGCTTAAAACCCTTTTATTGCTTTCGAGCCTAATGGGATCCCGGGACTGATTAGAGCTAAAGTTTGGGAGTCACTAAACAAGTGCTGGGACTACATTATTATTTTTTTATGATCTCACTAATAAGTCCCGTGAAGGGTGGCCAACCTTTTCAGTGTCGTAAATTTTGTGTGACGATCGAAATTTCAGATATAGCTGCCCCTTCCAATGTTTTTCCACCTCCGGTCCATGCTACACTGTCAACGAGATCGCGATGTGTCTTCACCGCAAATCCTCTCACTGTACATTCTTTACATAACATTGACGTTGAGGTACGTATTTAATATGGCTTTGAATGAGTTCTTTAAATGAGGTTGAATTTGCGCTGGTTTCTTCGTATATCGCACTTGATTTCCAGGCCCCTACCCTACCATTCAACGGTCACGTAGACTGCTTGCGCTTGAGCGTGGACGAAAGGAATTTGGCTGTTGCCTCAAATGACCTCATAAAACTAATTGATCTTACTAGAGGTCCGTACATTGTTTAATTTACCTTGCTTCCCGATTACGTTAATTTCAGGACGTGGAATCCGTAACTTATCCGGTCACTCATCAACTGTAAAAGCTATCACACCACGTCGCAGCACTGTGTACTCATGGGTAGGTGATTGAAGCTTCTGTTAAGCACTTACCATTCGATACATTTTTTCCAACGTTCTTTATTTTTCCTTGGGAAAGGATAAGGAACTGGGAAGGAAATACGTCACATTGGTCATTCAACGTCTCTATCTAATGAATATAGATTTCCCCTACTTTTCCTACAAAGAACCGGAAAATAACTTCCGTTTCATCACTTCCGAAACGTGGTAATCTGAATCATTGTGCTCAAGTCAGTTCCATCTTCTCAAGTAGGCATTCTCGCCAATTGATTAAATGTAATGATGTGTGTTAATAGTGTGGTTCCTGTAGAGCTCCCGTGAAAAGCGAGGCCAATTGTCGCCGTTTTCCGTCCTCAGCGCTTTATCGGTGGTTCTTTTTCCAAAAATTTTGCTGAACATACCCAGCCTGAGCCGTATTGTAATCCTTAATGTAAGGTAACTTAATCTTTGTAATCTTTGTTGGGAACCCTGACTGCATGATGGGATAGAGAGGACTTCGAGTTCATTCTCCCCTTCGTTAGTCCACGTTCAATCTTCCCCTACTCTTTCCATCAGCTTCAAAGCTATATGTTCATTTCATTGTTTTCCGACGTATATAACAGGAACATTCAGACGTTCTCTCGGTTGAGCATGAATGGGCAGCCTATTCATTTTTGTGATTTCACATTTGTTGGGTTTAACTGTAACCCGCTATTTCCACCCACGCTGCTGAGCATCGGAATTCGTTTCGCATGTTTAGTGTTCACTGGTCTGGAAAATGTTGTCGTTGCTGACCTAAATCTTCTATACGATCTCTAGCCATTCGAGTTGAACACGATGTCTACACGTAAATATTAACGAGGATTGATTGGCGCGATGACTTGGCAGTGTTGCATTCCTTGTTATCCTCGAATACAATCTCCCCATAGAATAAACAGGGGCCAAAAGGCGAATTCGCGATAACTCACGTAAGGGCGCAGTGAGTCTTTTTTTAGCTACCTTACGTGAATGATATCTATATGCACAATAAAAGATGGATTCTTCGGCGGTGATCAATCCTGTATTTGGGAGACGCTCCGCATTCGACTTCCATTTAGAATCGTAATGGCATAGTGAATACGTATTCGCCCCAAACAATGACTTGTGGTGGTCGGCCGATGCAAAAGCCACTGCTTTTATCCTCCCTTTATGAGTCTGGTACTTTAATAAAACTCGATCCCAGAAGGATGGAACGCCTGGGTGGTCTGGGCAGATTTTGGGATCGGGAACCTTGGGATCGGGAACCGGTTACCGAACCATGCGTTAATGCGCCAATTTCCACTACATCACCTCTGTCCTCCATCATTGCTACACGTAATTGCAGCCACCCGTCACTTCCCCTTGTTTTTATCCTCTTACGTTGCGGTTGTGGCGATTGCGGAATGCCGCGCGAATAATACGGATTGAATTTTCGAGGACTAGTTATGTTCTCTTCTCAGAAATTCTGAACAGCTTATGTAGCACACTTATGTATGAATAAGAGGAGTTCAAGAATCTAAGGACTTAGCATCAGGAAGATGAGCATTACCTTTCGAGTTCCAGCACCCGCTCTCGCTACTTGCCTTCCTAACTTGACAAGAAATTCATCGTCTGATTTAGGTGTCCGGATCGTTAGATTCCTCATGGATTGTGTGGGATAGTCGATCACATCCTGCAAACGTTCTGCAAGTAAGAACGACGGGTCCAGTGCGTTGTGTAGAAGTGAGTATTTCGAATAAAAAACATCGTTTGTATATTCCTCGACGTTGAAATTTCTTTTCATGTTTTAGAAAGTTGACGCTTGGTTGTTGACTAGTCTTCGATATAGCCATGATTAGTTTTTACCGAATTAGCGAGTATTAACAACCAGTCCTGTCACCCGTCTAACGCTGGTTGTGCATCTTGAAAATAATGGCCCCTTGAAGGTTCAACTGGTCATAATAAAATATTCGCCACGCTCCTTATGGGCTGAATCTAGTCCTGTTACCTACTGTCAGTGTTCCCATATTGCCTCCTGTACTCCTCTATCAAATTTTTGCGCTCTAGGTCCAATTTGACATTTTCTGAGCAGTCCCCGTGGGCTCTGTGCTCCTAGCAAATTCGAACTTTATAGGCCAGCAGGAATCAGAGTTACGCATTTCCGCTTAAACATTTATTTCGCACAAACCCCGCCACCTGCCGGCGGGTCTCGTCCTACCATCTGTGCTCCTACCAAATGTTTACTCTTTAGGTCGGTCAACGGCAACCGGAGTAATGAATTTCCGGTCAAACACACATATACAGACGCACACAAACAAAGAGAAACCAACCAATTTCACATATATACACACACACATACAAACACACACACACAAACCAACAGGCACACACACGACACACACAGACACAATCACACAGAGGCAAACCAACAGACACACTTGTGTACATAGCAGGGTAACGTTTACTGTATTGGCAATAGCATTGTTTCCCATAACATCGCTATCCTTTCCTTTTTATTTCCCGAAAAAAGTCTAGGGTTGCTAGAGGTTGACCTACTCATCTAACGAATGCCGTAATGCCGTTTATTGCCGATTTGAGCTTGGAAATTAAGAAAAGGGTTCCATAATATGAGCGTTTATCAGGTATGGAGAGGAGTGTTTCGAGCTAATGAGAAGTAATGTCGGGTTCTACCTCTGCGCATATGGTTATCAGAGTTTTGTCTTGTGTCGAATGATTCTGCGTAAATTCCTTACGAAGGCAACCTCTGCAAGTACTGCCATAGATTCTACCAGTAGGTGGTCGTTTGACGCGATCCCTCCCATCGCGCTGCCCACCAACATGGCTTACCCGCTGTACAACTCGTCCAGGTAATCGGGCAACCCTCTGCCTATCCAGCTGGTAGAAGCTCGAAGGATGACGTCGCTACTGCTACACACCAAGTTGTTTAAATCTTGTATTCTCCCATCAGCGTGGTGTCATCGATCGGACTTCTATCCTGGATGGGCAGTGGGTTTCTCGAACACCTGGACGAGCTGTCCATCTCGCAAACCGCGTCGAATGGGCGGTGCGATGGGAGGAGTCGCACCAAACGACATACACTCGCGCAGAGTAGATTGAGCGGCACCGATCGTTGTCCAGCCTTGCTGACAACCCTGAACGCAATCTGTCCTGCATTTTCAAAACGTGACCAGCAACCCGTCGGCGGTCGGCCGGCTGCTGGAAACATTGCCCGTTGGTGGATCTGAAAGCACCCAGTAGCACATCTATAGAATGTTAGGAGCAATTACTTAATCGGGCGCATGCACATAAGTTCACTGCCCGCTAAAGAATCTTCAGGTGGAAGGCCTCTGTAGAGGGGTCCGGGAACTTCTCCCCTAACACGGCGTCGCACACGCCGCACCCGCCGCCTATCGCATGATTGCGATGGAAGATTGGAGCGCGCAATTTGTGAGGTAGGGAGTCCTTTAATTATTTGATTTGGCTGGCCGCTCTTTTCAATTCCAATGCGGTCTTGATCGTCGTTTATATAGGAGGAGTCATTTTAATCAATCAAGTCTAATAAACATGAAAACTAAAAAGAAACAGAAGAAAAAACGATAAAATCCAATGAAAAAGCAAGCCAGCCAAGGAAAAATATCGCGTCCTATCGATCGGCGGGAGGCGAGGTGAGTACGGTAATTGCAGTGACTTTTACCGCATGCCGCAAGGGAGAATGCCGCGATAGGGGAGAAGTTCCGTTACCCTCTGTAGAGAACCCCCTGGTTAGCGTTACTCGGTTGATGATGTTTGACCGTTTCCGCTGGAGGCGATTGTAAGCGG